ATAGATACTCGATGTGTTCCCCTCTTAGCTTTAGACGGTTGCTAGAGTTGAGTTGCAACCCGTGATTGTGCCCGCAGTGTGCCACGTTACAACTCTATATTTTATTGGCTCGCTTGTGAATCTAGAACTTTCCAAATCGTTTTGCTTGGTCAGAAACTTGAGTGGGGGCCCGTGAAAGATATTTCCCCGATAGTTTTCGATTTGTAAATTAGCCAAGCTCCTCCTAGGCTGCATCGGTGAAGTGACGGGGAAGAGCCACAATTGTTATTTTGCTTCTCCACTTACCATAATTCAAAGTTAACACTAGTGGTACTGATCACCTAAACACGGTTAAAATCTACAGACGGCCAAAACGAAACCAGAACGGAAAGCCTGCTGCACCAAGTGTGGTAGATTTATAGAATTGAGGTAACTTTCACACGTGGGCTCAGAAGGGGAATTAGTTTAGGCATAGAACTCAACCACTCAACGACGGCTGGTTCACGATGCGGCCCCACACAACCCGACGTACAAAATTCCACAAATATTCCTTACAAACTCCGTATTCTGTCTATTGTTTTTACATGTCACGCCAAAAAAATAATATAAAATTTACTGTTGCGCCGGAAAGCAACTTACAGTAGATCTGGAAGGTGTAAAGCTGAATGCCGTGCAGTACATCCGTTTGGGCACATATTGTCTGGCAAATTTGTTCCCCACGTGGGTTTTGCTGATTTGGTGTCCGTTTTTGTAATAGTTAACCGTAAGTAGAAGACATTAGGCTGTTCGTACACGGCTCGTCCCCACCGTTCTAATTACCATCTCACGGCTTTAATCCTGGAAAAAATTAGTGGTTTGGTTTTCCTGAAGACGTAAGTGTGTCAGCGCCAAGTTTCACACATATTTGTTTTTTTCATACTCTGAAGCAAAAAGCACAAATTAAGTTGAGTTATTATCGTAGCGGTTGACAGGTAATTTTATTTTCGTTGGTCTCATAAATCTACTCATTGATGCGGTCAAGAAACTGGTCTGTTTGTTCGCTTGCCTAACTGAGCACTTTGCCATAAACATAACGCAACACAAGAGTATAAACCGACGGTTGCGCAAAGCATGGTGATAATGCAAGGAAGCGTTGAGTTATTATCGTAGCGGTTGACAGGTAATTTTCTATTCGTTGGTCTCATAAATCTACTCATTGATGCGGTCAAGAAACTGGTCTGTTTGTTCGCTTGCCTAACTGAGCACTTTGCCATAAACATAACGCAACACAAGAGTATAAACCGACGGTTGCGCAAAGCATGGTGATAATGCAAGGAAGCCAGGCTGATATATTGTTGTAGCATAAAAAGTATTTCTGGATAACAACTGCTTCTGTTCCTAGTTGTAACTTGTTGATGCTGCAACATGCTTAACCAATGGCTCACCATTCGTCTTCGACAGATAACTCTCTACAACAAGAAACCTATATCGATACTGGACGCGGTAAATTGATAGTAAATTGCCTTGCATCCAGTCTGTTTGGTGAGAATTGGCTTTTGTTGTGCTTAAGCAAAATGTGGCCAGAAATAATTCTGCTGAGTGTAAGCCTTCAGCGACTCTGTAGGCTGAAACATTACGTTTACTTAAACAAAAAGAACAGTTATTCAACACCTGATATCCGTCTACTCACAGCATACTTGTGGAGCCATTTGATTCTAATAACAAAAATGCCAAATAACTTCTTAAACTAAACTCGTAAGGTGAGCTCGAGTTAATTTGCATGTCACCATCACAAGTTCAACTTTTTTAAATGGTGTGTTAAATATGCCAACGCTGAACAAGACAGCTCAGCCTGCAAGCTGTATGCTGCTGTATTTTGAGCAAAGGTAGTCATGGTCACAGCTGCAATTTTTTCGGAGTTTGTGAAATCCACATCTACTTCACTGGCGGACTTATTCTTTTGAGTTCATACCAAAAAAGGACAATGCCTCTCTGGCATAAAGGATTTATGCATGTGTGTTCGACGCATCGAAGTTCGTGATATTTTTTGCATTACACATCTACTCGTGAAACCAAAAAAACCCTGAGAAAAAAATGTACAAGTGGATAAAGCATGTGCGTTCAAACTTGATGGAGCTAAAATCCCACTGAGGTATCATAACACAATTTTCAGTAATGTACCGAGTGTTGGTTTAACAACCGTGATGTAAGCGGTCATTTTGGACCGTCGTCTGCAACTGCCTTAAGCTACCAGACCGCATAATCAACAAGTATTGTGTTAACAAAACACCGCAATCAACTCGCCGTGTACCTGGTTTTACTGTTTCTTTTTACAAAACTGATCGAACAGAATTGGAGGATATAAAGGGGTTATCATTGACATATTTGACCTGACGCATTTTAAGGCCAAGAACACTAGCGCATTTCATTCATTTCGTATATGCTAGGCTACCAAGAGCGGAACTTATTATTAGGTGAGGTTCGCAATGTTCTAGTATTTCTGATGAGTATTCAAGATGGGTATGTCATGGCTGGAGGCAGCTACTAATTTAACTAGACGCAATAACTTTTAAACAAGCAATTCTATGAATTTGCGTAGGCATAGATCGCTCAGGCTAACTGCCACAAGGTTTTGGGTTGCAAATTCGACTAAATTATGGACAAACTGATGATGATACTCATGTTTGGGAAGCAAAATTAACCATACGATCCGTCGGCTTTGTTGTTGAATGTGTGGGTGCGAGAAGCTTTCTCTCTTATTCCGCGAAAACGCTTAATTTGATTTCCATAAAGATATTAACATAAGGGCGTCTTTTGTAGCGTTCACCCCATAGGTCACAAGTTGTCCGACGGAAGTCATCAGTTAAAACTTTAAGCGGTTAAGAAGCTTGGTTCCTTATGACCACAAACAAAAAATTCAACTCACAGAACGAGGTCCGTTCCTTATATAGGGTTGGCTTAACCTATTTATTGGTACTCAAGTAATCCAGGAACCTTATGCTACCCAGTGCCAACTCTACGCATACTTCTAATAGCTTGTTATCCAAATAACAGATGAAGAAATGTCGGAGAAATCCAATAATCAACCTGCGTTTGAAAAAGCTAGTTTTAGTGATTCGCTTGTACCTAAGTTTCAATAAATGTGTCTAAACTTAAGCGGAATTTATGCGATAAGATACATGGAAAACGGCTTTGGGTGATAAATTCTGAGTCGGGTTATGCGACTCATCCAAAACGAAACATTCTCAAGCCAAGCCCGAGTAGTTAGCTCAACCCAGGCCAATGATAACCAATATAATTTGATGCCGAGGAATCGTCACGGAAAGATCTCCTACAGGCTAACCGCGCTGGTATCAGACTGCCAACAGCCCAAATACAATGCAGCATAAGTCAAGAGAACTAGGATTCCTAGTACTAAAAGAGCTTATAAGCTGTTCGTGTCAACCATGCCCTTTATCAAAGACCGTATGTGTCAAAGAGGTTTCTTTTGACTTTTGGAAGATACGTGTTATCTGACAACGCCATATCACTCTGCAAATGACGCTGAATACTAGGGGTATTATAAATGACTCGACTTTGAAACGTGTCACGTCAGGTATGTATCCGTAAGGCAAAATTTCCCCCTAATTTCTTACCGTGTACTTTAAAGCTTTCTCTTCAAACACGTTCCGGCAGGCTTCTACACACGTTCACGGAATTCGATGCAATAAGTTTTCTAGGAACGAGCGCGGATCCACATTTGCAAAATAAACTACGTTTGTCCTGGACAAGACCAGAAAACAAAAAACTTCCGCCCTGCAATAATACCAATTTCCAAGGAAACTGAACACGAAGGATAACAGTTATCTGACTAAAGAAAATAATATTCAAAAACTCAGGATTGCCTATTTTTGGGACATGAACTAACGAGCTCTTCAAACAGATAAGAAGGATGTATTGTCTGAAAGTTGCACTTCACATTCAGAGAGGAACAAAACATAAACGTATCAAGTCCTCAAAAATACAAACCTCGTTTGCATGGTGAGTAGAAAATATAATGATCATTCAGAGCTGTGTATTTTAAGACAAATCTGAGAGTCTATAAGAAAGTTTTGCAGTTCACCGCAAAACCCTCTAGCTTGTTAGCACAATTAAGACTGAAATTATCTACATCAAACTGCTACATGGTCCTCGGGATTGTCCGTGGTTGTTTGTGGGTCTCTAAGTTACTCTGCGTGCCACAAGCTAATTACAGTATCTAACACCCAAGAAGATTAGGTAACAGTGAATATTAGCTGATTTATCCTTGAGGGCTATTCTTTCTTCCTCTATTTTGCTACAACCCAATAAATTCATTTGAACAAAACTGATCCACCTGCAAATATGTTTGCTATTTTTTTCAGAAGGGCTTGGTAAACAATCGGTAGTTTTTATTTCAGCAACGTTTCGCTTTTGACACAAAAGCTTCATCAAGCCAGGTGAAAAGCTCACCAAATTGGCCAGGTTATAAGACAGATGGGGAACCAATCAGTAAGTCCTCTTCACACTAGATCAGTGTTGAGTCTCAATTAACGACTCTTGTTTGCTAGTGTGGGTACCAAAATCTTGACCTGATGGGTTGGAGGAGTTTCAAATTAGCGAACATACACTCATTTGCAAACCAGTTTGGTTCTTTCGAGAGAATCACCTGGAACCCAGCTGAATCTCTCGTTTATGATGTTCTCAGGCAACTGAATGTGCTGCACCAGGCCGCCTCATGTTTCAGTCGCTACGATATTTGAAATATCGCGATACATGTAATGTACTACTCGTAAGGTTGCTGAAAATCCATCGAGTTCCAAATTAGTGCCAATCGCTTTTCGTTCCTTAATCTTCCACTTCAGGGTGCTTCAATTGATGATTCACCTCGGGTGTCACTGGTAGATTTCCCTGGTCTTTGTGGGGTTGTGAGTGCTCCGACAATTCAGTTTGAGGAGGGTTGAGGTCAAGTGGAATTCAGATGATGACCACTCTTCCTTCTGATGACCGCACACCAACACGTGTCAGCTCGAGTGACCAAGACCGTTCTCCACCTTCCAGCCACTTTCACGCCTTCCATTCTGTTAACACTGGGATGCTCGGCGATTTCCATCGCCTCAGCGATCAGTCTGTGACGTTAATCGTAGTCCTCGCCTCAAAGCCTCAACATTTCCTAAGTCTATTTTATGTCCCGTGTCCAGTGCGTGTTCCGCAAATGCCGAGTCTTTCAGTAACGCCTGATATTCATCTGCGTTTCTCGGTGGCCTCTTTATTTTTCTACTATGCTTTCCGACTCTGATGTGTAGTTCCCTGACCGTCTATCCTATATAGACCTTGGTGAAGTCATTACACTTATATTTGTAGACACAGTCCCTGGTTCTGTTTGCCGGGAGGCGATCCTTCGATTGCAGCAGTGCACAGCGCAGAGTTTTCCCCCTTTGGAAAGCTACTCTTATGTTAGGCGTGTTTAGAATTATTTGAATGACCTCAAATGTCCCTGGTTTATATGGAATAACAGCGGTCCCGATCCATTCCCTGGTGGGTTTCCCTACCGGTACCAACACCCTTCGCAGCTGACGCTTAATCAAGCTAGCTGGATATCCACTACCCCGAAGTTTGCTCTTCACTTCAATTTTGATCGCTGTCCGATCAACTTCTTCTGTGCACAAGGCCCTTGCAGGCCTAAACATCGACGACGCAATACTTGCGTACACCGACTTTAGATAGGGAGACGAGTAGTTCAAAACTGCCCCAGTGTTGGTTGGCTTCTCGTACACTGTGGTCTTTAGTTCCCCCCAACCTTATGTGTCATACAATCTAAAAAGGATAGTGTACCCAAGGCTGACCCCATCTCCATACTTAATTCGATCTGTGGACTCAGTTCGTTCAGGTAATTGTAAAACTCACTAACCTTGTCCCGTTTCATGACGGCGAAAGTGGCATCTACATACCGCCAAAATATCTTAGGTAGGTAGGGGAATCCGGCCAAAGCTCTCTGTTCAAATTCTTCCACAAATATATTCGCCCAAACCGGGGATATTCGAGATCCCATTGCTATACTTTGTTCTTGAGTGCAAGCCACTGAGTCAAAAACGAAGTGGGTGAGATTCAGACATGCTTTTATGCCTTCCACTATTTCATCTACCGTAAGCTGTGTCCGTTCTGGAAGGGTGGTGTCCGCCAACAGTAGTCGCTTGGCTATTTCTAAAGAATCCCCTTTTCGAACGTTTGTATATAACGATTTCACATCAAAGCTTACGAGGATGTCATCTGGTTCAACAGTGACACCCACTGCTTTGTTGGCGAAGTCCAATAAATTCTTAATGTAATTACTAGATTTCCCAGTGAGGGGCTTTAAAAGTTTGTTGGCGAAGTCCAATGAATTCTTAATGTAATTACTAGATTTCCCAATGAGGGGCTTTAAAATGCCGGCCAAGAATCTGGCCAGTTCATGCGGTGGGGAACCTAGTCCGTCTACTATCGGTCTCCCCGGGACATCTAGTTTATGGATTTTTGGAAGGCCATAAAGTTTGCTATCCGTGAGGATACTACCTTCATTTTCAAAGTAATCGATGAATGACCTAAGAGAGAACAACTGAATATGACATAATTCCTGGGTCAAATATACTCAAAGCTGCTAATATTATTCGTATGTTTTATTCATGGGCTTGAATTTGTTTTGTTAAATTGGTATAACAAATAATGGCTAGGTGGGCACTTTGGCCATCTCAGAAGACACTGAAAGATCAATCTAAATATTATCAAACTCAGGACGGCTTCACTGATTTTTAAGACGCACAACACGTTGGGTCACGAACTGCACAGTTAAAATAAGGAGCGCGACTGTCATTTTCTGGTACCTTAAGATGCTTGACAACTTATGTCCAGGTGAAATTGGTAGACACGGTATATCTTTAGGGCTTTGCATAAAAATATGGTCTCTTACCTGCTGTCAAATCGGTTTGGCGAAGCGTCCCTGGGGTGTTTTTAATGGGACACTATTTATGGATTTTGTGTTCATGTATGACAGGTTTGACAGTGTCTGCCCAATGAACATAAGGAGGCCGAACCCGCGTGAGTGGTGCTTTTTCATTAAGACAGACTGCATTGTCTGAAATATTCTCTCAACTAATATTTACGGTACTTCTTATTCAGAAGATTTAGTCAAACTGCATTATGGAAGAAAGATTCAGCTAGCTATATAGGGTCGGTCAACCCACATCCCGCAATTTTATAGTGTTTTGATACGGTGGCAAAGAAAATCTCACTAACTAATGTGAAAGTAAATCATCTGTTCCCCTTATTAAACTGTAGTCCTATACATGACACTTTTAATGAGGTCGAAAAAAAACTGCGCAATGCAACTAGCGGTGCAGCTAATTAGATGTTCCGATATCTTGAATAATGTTCCAGATTATACGTGGGGTGTCTTTCTGTCAGGACATTTATTTTGGGTATATCATAATTCTGATATTCAGCAGATGTTTATTTAGACTCTCTGTTGAAACATTTCAATTCACAAGTATCACTCCATCCATATAGGCGCATCTTTCTTCACCGCATCTGACCAATACCAATGGTGCGACTTGTCCAGTGAAGCCATCTAGACAGATATATAGACACTGTTGGTAACTATCGCTCTCAAGCTTGTGCTGGTGGAACAAATGTAAGATTGTGTATCGCTAGTGCCTTTGAGCGTCACATAAAATCAAAACCCTACGAAAATTCCGTAAATACATGAACTTATCATGACTTATATTGTTCGCTGTTCAAATACTCACTAGATCTGTGGATTTTAGTGTTTGCAAACCCAATCCGTGGAGATTCTAACCCCTGACTTGTATTGTTAAATCGTCCTGAAATTCTTCGTTTTTATACTATGAGGGAGCTTAACATTGTCCACAGATGTGTGCCAACTTCACCGAAATTTTAATATTAGAATGCGCCACCTGACTACATCTAGTAAATTAACCTTTAATAACAGGAGCGCTACCAGATAGAATTTTCAAACCTAATGGTCGTTACTTGATGCAGTGTTCTTTAAATGCTGCAAATATCTGAGGAAAGCGTCGCAATATTTCTCGACTCGCAAGCACACACCGTGTAATTGCAAACAATGTAATATATACATATATATTCCATCCATGCTTTTTCAGCTAAATTCACTGGACAGCTCGTGCAAAATTAGAGTTTGTTGTCCGGTTTCGGAAGAAACTGATTTAGAACGTTTCTTTGGAGCTACAATCGCATAGGTTTATGGTGCCTACCATAAACATGGAAAGGTGTTAGTATTTTGGCAGTCGCGGATAATTGCAGATTTGACCACCAGTGTGAAGTCCTTAATATATATTACACCGGTCCTGTCTGAAATGAACTGGAATCAGGCGAATCGACCAAGATATAACCGTATTTTGTCTGTCTGCTACATGTGAGCCGGAGTTGTTATGTTTATCAAAATGCAGTTTTGTGTGCATACAATGACTTACGATAGACGCGCTAGAAGTAAATTTATCTCCATGCAGAGGTCGTTTCAGTGTCGTGAAATAGTCGTCTGGCCCATTCTTGTGCGCAACTTAGTATTTGTTTGTGGAAGGAAAACGAGGCTCAGTGACCTAACACCGATTCTGAGCACATTGTTAGATGTAATGTGCTTTCTGTTTATCAGAAAATTTCCTTCGAGCTGTTATCTCTTGTGTTGAGCGTGACATCAAACCAGATGTTTTTCGTTGCTTTTTTCACTCACCCTGTAGTAAATTTCACTCGTGAAACTGGCCTCTACTTACTTTTCTTACGCACCAGATTGATGAGTGTTCAACCACGCGCATTTGCAGAAACCTAAAAAGGAAACCATTTGATTCCATCCGGGCGAAATTCATTTTGTTTATCTTGTTAAGTATTCTATGTTAGGTCATTGTCCAAAGTGAGACATCATCAGCTACATCCCAGTGAGTAGGTTGCTTCTAAATCTTGTTTAAGCTAACATTGCTCTCAGTACTCTTTATTCACCACTTTAATAAGAGAGTGCCGCAAATGAGACTTATCTTCTTATATTTGTCTCATAGGTGGAATTTGATGGCAAAATGCAATTTTTTTCAAGAACGACCTAAAGTTAACACCTAGCGGAAACAATTAGGGTTAAAGTATCTATGGCTTTCAGAAATCCAAATAAACCGCTTCAGTTAGGATTGACGGCAAGTAACACAAAAATATAAATTTCATCATATATTGTGTAAAATATTTGAATTATGTATATCTTAACTGGTTAAGCTTCGATGCAAATAAACCGCTTCAGTTAGGACTGACGGCACGTAACACGAAAATATAAACTTCATCATATATTGTGTAAAATATTTAAATTATGTATATCTTAACTGGTTAAGCTTCCAATTACGCTATATAAATGTCCGCATTACGCGTTTCCGGGCGTAAAATTCAAATTTAATAACCAACTACAAAACTCAGAATTGTGAAATTTGAAATGCCGGAACTTGATATTAAACGAACACGACGACAGTTTTTTACATTTATGACCAAAACGAAAGTTAAATCTTTTTCGCATGTGCATTTAAAATCCTTGATCAGTGTGTGAAAGTGAAAAAAGCACTTTGAATATAATTTCATACATTAATTAAATTTGATTGCCAATACTACGCAGATAAAAGCCCCTGATCATTTATGGTCCTACCGAAATTTACTTTTACTAAACTTCTATTACGAAACTGATGTTAATCAACAGTGACTTACTTAAAAAATTATTGCAAGCCGGCGGCCAAGTTACTGAGGTTTGTGTTAAATTTAAGCGCAACTAAAACAATTGGAAGCCAACAAGCCATCACAAGCTATTTCGCTTCGTGCATGATCTACACCAACAACAACCAAACAGCTAGAGCCTGTGAGTTTGAAATGTTGCGCTATGTGGAAAGCTAGTAAGTCGTGATCAATGCAGGATGCTTACGAAGCAACTAGGGAACAAACTGATCAAGGTATTTGACGGTAATACGTACTTCCGAGTGTTCTGTTACGCGTTGGCTTGTCTATCAAGGCTTGCAGCTGGTCTGTAAACATTTCATCACCTTTCAGAGAGACATTACCAGTGATGATGTCTTCTCACGGGTCGTACTGCAGTAAACAAGAATACGAAAAAACAAAATGCAGGTAAACTATGTAAACATGTGAATTTCCAAATCAACCTCTGTGTATTGGTGTAAAACAATTCAATATAAGAGTTTTATCGTTGTTTGGTGAGAGTGTAATTTTGCATTCAATGAAGCAAAATTTGACCCAAGAACTTGCAAAAATATGATTTCATAAAGTCGACATGTATCGGTTAATGAAAGATGAAGGTTTTTGTGCAAGTCTTGCTGCAGACCAACTCTGAACTTCTACTCGGTTTTTCCTATTGGGATTAAGGGACCCTTGACAGATACAGTCCTGGTATTCATTGAATCCTGCCTCCATTTATAAGTACAAAGTTTCCTAACAACACTGTTTGCGCATCCATTGGCCATTTACCCGTAACTACGTTTTTTACTTATCAGCTCGTCTATTGGCTGCAAATAAATCTCAAAATGATGTTTTCGTTCATGAACCCTAAATGCATATTTCTGCCGCAGCAAAATGAAACCCGACGACATGAAGTTACTTGCACCAAAAATGTCGCCTATCACAAAGACGTCAACAAGCCTTCGTAGTTGACTTGCCGAGGGTAGTTTGTTTCCATTTGACGCCTTACCAAGCTTGTTAGTCGTAACTGGACATCCGTCGTACACTTTGACACCGACTAGGACTAGAGGAAAACGGTTCCCGCACGTTCTAACTCTCCGTGTTACTTATTATTCAGCGATTTCGCCACCATAATTACTTGTCAGATACCAACAACCTCGAGGAACATACCAATAAACTAGGTCTGACGCTCCGAAGATGCGCAGGTACACGTTATTATCGACCTGGGGAAACTGTGGTGGTGCTGCAAAATTTGATGTAACGTATGAATGTGGTCGACACAGTCTTCGCCAGCACATAAAGCGACCTGTTTTTCTAACCATTTTTCCTAGTAACAGGCTAACTGGTGCAGGATAACAACATGCGAACATCTAAACCTGAAAAGCAAAACGACAATACTCCAGGACACCACACCAGTCTAATGTAATTTTTATGCCCGAGTGTTTCTCATTCTAAACTTTAACTGCATCCCTCAAATGTGGAATTTAAAGGTCCTACCTAAAATCCGGAAGGAACTTTCATGGATTTCCGGATCTACCCTACATATAAGCAGAGAATTCTCCAGCACGTTGCATTTACTGCATACGTGAACTTAGTTTGTGTCACAGATTAAATATGCTGCACCCGCGTTTTCGCTGCATCTGAATCATTTAAACCGTCAATCTTTCGCGCGAGCTTTAATTCAGCTTCGGTCTATTGCATGTGCTTATAGTAATCAGCATAATGTTTTATTTAGACATTTCTGGTATTTTATCCGTTTAGGTTTCACCCCGGATTAGGAATCATTCCCGGAATGCAAAGTGCATAGGTCATGTTGTTGGTCCTTCGAATCTGGTTAACTGACCTGATTTGTTGGTTC